TAGATACGATGTGGGACCGAGAATCTACATTTTTTGCGGGACCGGTGGGCTCCAACTGAATTTTTTTTTGTTAACAATAATGGTGGGGGGGGGGGGGGGGGGCGCTGGAAACGAGGGGGTGTTCTAGTTCGCGTCTGTGAGGAAGGAGACTTGCACGCTTTTTTGTCTAGGTATAGCGTGCATATATACCGCGCTATACTATAGCGCTGTATATACGAGCGCTATACCTTCTCGCCCATTTAAAGTTTAAATATAGCGCGGTATTTCACCTCGCTATACCTTAACGGCACATTTTCTGTTAAGGTATAGCGCGGTGAAATATCGCGCTATACATATTATGGTCCCAAGTTTTTTTTCCCACATATTTTGGTTCTTTGAGTCTATAAGAACCACATTTTGGTTCGATGAATGGCCATAAATATTTTGTTGACTAAATATCGGAAATACTGACTTGAAAACTCCAGAACTGTTGCTTGAATTAATGGCCCTAAGGATGTGAAAATTTTAAAGTCAACTAATTACTGCTATGATTTACTGTTTTTTTGTTTACTGCAAAGGCGAAGGAAATTTTTGTGCCTAATATGTGACTTTAACAATGAGAAGACTCAGCTGTTAATTTTTCCTGGAAAGGACTACAATTTTGAATTTAGATATGGTAACCCTTATCAGTTAATGAAATTCCTGAATTGAAAATGAGTTATGGTTTTTAAGTTTGAGATAGACAGACGGATTTTGGGAATTCTAGTTGAGAATATATAACTAATGGGTCGTTTGGTTGGTTATTAACAAGTTATGCCGTGATTATGATGACGGGATTTATAATACAGAAATTAAAAAATGACAAGATTATTTAATGAATATATTTTTAGTGATAGATATTCGATTTATTGGGTTAAAAATGGGACATACGAGGTATAATTTGTAACATATTTTGGTTTTAGATAAATTTTTATTTCAAATAAGTCTTGGAGAAGCTTGATCATTTTACTATCTTAATCCCGAGACAAGTAACTCTTAAATTATTATCCCATATTGAAGATGATGTAAAAATAGTACCACATTATGGTATAGTATAGCTAATCTCTGGATTACTATTTACTAGTTGCAAAATTAGAAACTCAATCAAATAATATTCCCATATTTTGTTCCGTGATTGTTATTCTTTATCTCACTAACCCAATGACCCCTAAATCTAAATGTACTTACGGATAATCCCTTTAGGAGTCGCTTTGGTTCGTGCACAAAGTTATGTAGCGCATTCGTACTTGATTTTTACGCCAAATTAATGAATGCAAGAAATGTACTTTTCATATATATATTTATAATTATTTAATCATAGTTAAGTGATACCTATTATTATTTTTTATTATTAACTGCTAATTAAAGTTAAAATACTTGATTAATGTATATTCTTATTTCATACAAGATATGCATGTAAGAGACAAGTGCATGAGAATGAATGTATGCTTGCTATATATTTTATAAATATGTACCATGTTCGAGAAATCTAAGAGGAGTTATGAGCATGAGTTTAATGCTCGTATTATTTGTTTACAAGCATGTTCAAGTTGAGTTATAACAAGTCTAGAAGATGAATATATTTCACAAATGAGTAAGTAGCAAAGAAAATAATTAGGCTACCAAAGAGCAACGTAGTTTATATTTCTTTATATTTCTCTTTGAAATATGATCAACAACCTATTCAAAGTTACTTTGTGACATTCAACGGTACGTTACATCAAGGAGTTTGGTGGGATGGATAAAATTTCTTTATTCTTAATCAGAGAATTCGGATTAAAGCCGAGGAATGGAAAGCTCCCTTGTAGGGAGCGATTCCCTTTTTACTAGTCCTTATGTGAGGTGAATCTGGATTAGTGAGGCCCGTGTATTCCAAATGGCATATGGTTATAAAAAAGTGGAACTTAATATTAATTAAACCTGGCCTCTCCCATGCAAGAATTGCTACGTTTCAATAGTTTTCTTTGGACCAAATATTGAAGGATTAAATGTTTACTAAGTAAAATCAGACATTCTCAAGGAAAACGGCAAAATGAACTCCAAATGACACCAAAACAGTGTAAAAGATTTCTAGATCATATTTCAAAATTGATTTCGACCAAATCAATCCAGAATCATAAGAAGTCTACGAAATTGTTTTACGGTAAATGTCTAGAAAATTGACAAGTCTGTGGTAGATAAGTCATCCCTTTGAATTGAAATTGTTTCATCTTCAGTATGATTAGAAAACATAATAGATAATCAAACTAAAATAGATTATCTATTTGCATAAGTTTGAAGTAATGCTTGTTTCTAGAAATTTACAATGTGTCATTAGTAAATTCTTGACGTTCTTCAAGCAACGTTTCATTTACCCAATGGTTATTAAAATGCATTCTTAATTATTACTCTAAATAAAGTCAAATCCTACCTGCTCCAACATCAAAATCGGATGCATTCCCTTTTGCCTATTGAAATATTTATTTATGTTCAAATATTTAATTTTAAAGTCATAAAACATGTCTAGCTCAATCTTGTTCTTGTCCTTGTTTTAATATAATTAAAGTACTAAGATGTGTCACACATCAAATGAGGAGAAGACAAAACTTCACTTGGCCAATCTGGATACACCATTTTTCTGGAAAAATTCATCGCAATAACTTTTAGCTAGGTAAATGTTTCGTTTCTAATCAACGTATAACAGTAATTGTATTGGCAAATTACCCTCTCCACGCGGCTTGACCGAAAAGTCTCATGTGGCAATATAGACCTAGAAATCAAGTGACACGACCTGATTTCTGAGCTATGGTCATCGAAGGGTCAAGAATTCGAGAGATGGTCGAATAAGTTCGAAAACTCGGTCAACCTTATTCCTAAATTATGGATACCTACATTACGCCAAAACGGAAGCCACTATCGAGGATCCCGCTACTCACTATCTAATCCACTAGCGTGCTGGCTCAAAACTCGGAAGGACAATTCTCTTCTCACTGCTATAAAAATTGTTTCAATTCTCAAAAGGAGGATCTTTTTTTATTATTATTTGTTCTCAAAAGGAGGGTCATCAAATATATATACACAGAAAAACTTTCTCTGTATAAAATATCATTCTGCTAGCCTTTTTCTTATTAAGTTTTGTAATCTAGTCATATTTGTGAGCAGAGATCGCTCGGGAATGAAAATAAAGAAAAAATTTCTCCGCCGCATTATTCTTTTTTTAATCTGTTTCGCAATTTATCGTTTTTTTTTTTTCTCACTATCTACAACTGCATCAAATAAATTGCTAATGGCCCTTGAAAAATATAAATTTAATTATTTAATTTCAAAATCAATTTTTTGGTCAAACAATAATATCTATTGTTATGCATTTCCGGAGTGCCAGAAGCAAGCATAATATGATATGAACATAAACTCTCGGGGTATGAAATCTCAGAAAGAGGCTTGCTCAACTTAAATGAGATATGATATCTCCTCCTTCATATAATATTATGTCTTTTTTTCCAAACATGTGAAAATTTATTGATTGTCACAAGTGATATTAGAATACATTAATTACTCTGCTTATTTTGATACATTCTGATATCATAATAAACTATGGGGTAATTTGTTAGATTTAGAATTTAAATTTTATTAGTTCAATATTTATAATTCTTAGCATTGAACATATTATATGTTTAAAGTCATGGGTTTATATTTAGATTTTATTAGGAGTATAATTTTAGTAATTTTATATATAAATTTATATCTCGAAGGGAAAGTATTGGGTTCAGATAAACCCGGTACAGCATAGCTACATCCGCCTCTGAGATAGTTTCGCTTTATTACATTGTCCTCTATCATAGTTTATGATATTACGTTTTTCTCCATTATTTTTATTTTTATGATAATAATTCTTTTTACCTATTTTTCATTAGTGTAAAAGTTATTAATTTGACAATCTTGCCCTTAACTAATATACTTTTTGTTTTGTGAATTGGATTAATTTTAGAGATATCTTTTTATAATTTCCTGTTAAATTAATTAAATTACTAACAGCTCTTGTTTATGGAAAAGTGCAAAACAGGTGCGTCGGATTTTCGTTATAGAGTACTTGCCCCTCTCAGTTTCTCTCCATTAACAAAAACTAATAGTTCGTATACGGGAAAAACTGATACATAGACTGAAAATGCAATGTTGAAAAAAGAAGAAATTGGAAGTTGAATTAAAGCATACTACTACAAGTACTTTTGGGATTTTTACATAAATAGTCGGCTAAATTCATTATTTACTTACGCTAGTCGGTATATATATTGATTATACACGATTATATACATATTATACATGAAATATACATATACTATTATACGTTCGCCAACAATTTTTAGTGTTAACGGTTTGGTGGACCACTAGGTTAAATCTTCTTTTCACTGAGTTGGGCTTTGGTGCTTTAGTTGTTCAGAAATGTGGTCAGTGGGGATTAGACTGTAGACATAGAACATTTTGCAGTGACAGAGGAGTTAGACGCAAATGAAATTTAATTACTCTGCTTATTTCCCTTTCTCAATAACTCCAAGTCATGGTTGGTTCAAGGTTAGACAGCAAAATGATATATATTATTTTTACAGAGTTAACAATGTTGGGAAGAAGAAACCATATTCTAATTCTAACAAGTGGAGATTTACTTAGAGATAGAGAAGAAGGGTGAAGAATGTCGTGCATATTATGTGTTTAAAATATAGGGGGGCATAATTAATGGGTTAGGGGACATAAATTAATGGGGTTAGTAAGAAGATTATAATATAAGGGGACATAAGTTAGTGGGTTAGTGTGGGAGGAATAAATATATATATCAAGTGTATAATATATAGATGTATAAAGCAAGTAATGTACACACGGGAGATTTGTTTTTCAATAAGATTTTCTCCTTCAATTTCGTACATGGTATCAGAGCAATAAGCTCGATCCAACAGTCCAACCATCAAATCAATTTACATCAGATTCAACATCATAATCAGTAACCTAAAATGCCTGAAACAACCATCACGTTTACTGGTGATACGAGCAATGCTGCAAAACCAGACAACTATGATGTCAATCACCCTTATCATCTCAACAACTCTAATTCACCTGAAATGACTCTAGTCAACACTATGTTTGATGGAAAAGGATACCTAGGGTGGAGGAGATCTACTCTCATGTCTTTGTCAGCCAAGAAGAAACTTGGTTTCATCAATGGAGCATGTCAACCTCCAGATCTGAAATCTCCAGACCATGAACAATGGAGTTGTGTGAATGACATGGTCATCTCTTGGATCCTAAATGCTCTCTCAAAGGATATTGCAGACAGTGTGATATACTTCAAAACTGCAAAAGAACTTTGGGACAGCTTGGAGCAGAGATTTGGGAGATCAAATGTAGCCAAGCTTTATCATCTACAAAAGGAGTTATCAGGTTTAGCACAGGAAAACAGTGACATTGCAGCATACTTCACTAAGCTCAAACGACTGTGGGATGAATTAGATGCTTTAAATATTATCATATGTTGTTCATGTGTTTGTGTTTGTGAAGGAAAGGCAAAGTTGACTAAGTCTCTTGAGGATCAGAGATTGATCCAATTCCTAATGGGATTAAATGACATCTATGCACAAGCAAGAGAAAATATCCTCATGATGAACCTTTTTTCTAGCATAGATGTTGCTTATTCACTTCTCTTGCAAGATAAAAATCAAAGAGAAGTTTATGCAAATGCACATTTTAATTCTGAATCAGTATCATTCATGGCAGTTGGAGAGGCCAAGCAGCCTAATGCACAACTTCTAGCTGATTTTGCAGCTTTTATGATCACAGGACAAGGGAAGAATTATCAGAAACTTAGAAGCCAAACACAAAGAGGAGCAGCCATATCACCCAAATATAACAACTCAGGGTAAAAGTTTGTTAAACTTCAGCAAAGGTTTAAAGGGAAAAAGAAGTACAATCCAAATATGTCTTGTACATATTGTGAAAAAATAGGACATACACAAGAGGATTGCTATAGCATTATTGGATTTCTAGAAGATTTTGAGTTCACCAATCACAAAGGTCATCAGACTCAAATTAAAGGAAATGCAGTCCTAACACATGAGGAACGTGAGAATTCAGCAGGACAAAGCACTGAGCTCAACAATAGTAATTTTGGACAGCAACTCAACAAGGAACAAATTGCATAAATGATGCATATGTATAAGCAGGCAAAGTTAGCAGAGGCAGAAAATACAGGAATCAATGCTAATGCAGTTGCTGATACTATTCTAAAATACTCAGGTTCAGTGTTTACTAGTCTAAAATCAGACACTTGGATCATTGATTCAGGTGCCTCAGAGCATATGTGTTTTGATCCTAATTCTTTTCTGTTTCTAACTCCACTTCTTGTACCTTTGAATATCAGCTTACCTAACTCTTTCAAGGTGATTGTTACTCATATAGGGAGTATTTCTATTTTGCCAGGTCATATCCTGAACAATGTGTTACATGTTCTAGATTTCAAATATAACTTATTATCAGTTAATAGGTTTTGTATTCAGTTCAAGTATGATGTCCTATTCACATATATTGGGTGTATGTTGTAGGGTCTTTTAATGAAGAGTCCACAAATTTTGGGTGAAGTTAGAGAGGGACTCTATTTATTGGAACCAAGTAGCCTTAAGTCTAAGGGGCTATTCAGTAGTAATGTACTTTCAATTCCAAAATAAAGAAATCTCGTTTCAAAGTCTGTTTCTTTTTCTAGTTCAGTTCAAGTTAATGGTACTCTTGATGTTAAACTTTGGCATGTAAGATTGGGACACCTTCCATTTTCAGCAATGAAACATTTAGATTTCCTTCATTGTAAGTCAAATTCTGAGTTTATATGTGATGTTTGTCATAAGGCTAAGCAAACCAGGAATCCTTTTCATGTCAGTAGCATAAAATCCAAGCATATATTTGAACTTATACATGTAGACACATGGGGACCTTATAAGTCAAATACTTACAATGGATTCAGATATTTCTTTACTGTAGTAGATGACTATAGCAGAGGAACATGGACATTTTTATTATGTGCAAAAGGCAATGCTTTTCCTATGCTTAAATCCTTTCTGTCTATGGTTGAAAGGCAATTCAAAGTGAAAGTCAGAATGATAAGATCTGACAATGCATTAGAATTGGGAAAAGGTACACAAGAGGCAGCTTTCCTAGCTTCAGAAGGAATTCTACACCAACTATGTTGTGTAGCAACCCCTCAACAGAATGGAATTGTTGAAAGGAAACATAGACACCTCTTAGAGATTGCAAGAGGGTTAATATTTCAATCCAAGCTACACATGTCATATTGGGGTGAATCTATCCTAACTGCCACACATCTTATTAATAGGATGCCTTCTAGTGTTCTTAAAGGAAAGACACCATATGAGGTTTTATTTCAAGAAAAAACCAAGTATGATCACTTAAGGAATTTTGGATGCCTCTGTTATGCTTCTACAATAGCCCAGGGAAGAGGCAAGTTCAATGATAGGGCAACAGCTTTTGTTTTGCTTGGTTATCCGCTTCATCAGAAGGGATATAAGCTATTGGAATGGTCCACAGGAACAGTATTTGTGTCAGGGGATGTGAAACTTCATAAATCACATTTCCCTTTTATTGAAACCAGCACATCACAATATCTTATATTCCCAAGCTCAATATTTACTACAGAACCTACCTATTCACCTTCATCACAGGATCAATCCTCACCCATCTCTTTAGAACCTGAAGTTTGTGATATTTTCTTCTTACCATCACCAAGTTCTTCATACACTCCCTCTCATCATCACTTGTCTAATAGCCCAATTCTTTTTCAGTCTATCCTAGATACACCACACACTACCTCACATATTTCTATACCTAAGTAGCCTACACCATTGAGAAAGTTAGAAAGAGTTTTCAATCAACCAACCTACTTGAAAGATTATGTATGCAGTAATATCATGTTCACAAATGTAGCAGCAGCTTGTTTCACTCAACCAAGTAAGCCTAGGGAATTACGTTTCTTTTCTCTGTCACCCAATAATCAACATGTGTTGCAATCCCTCTCTACTCTCATAGAACCTAACAGTTTTGGACAGGCTTGTCAACATCCATATTGGATAGAAGCTATGAATTCAGAGCTTAAAGCTCTAGAAGACAACCACACATGGGATGTGGTTGAATTACCTAAAGGAAATAAGGCTCTACCTTGCAAATGGGTATACAAGGTAAAGCATTTGTAGGATGGAAGAATTGAAAGGTTGAAGCAAGACTGGTGGTCAGGGAGGATATCCAAAGAGAAGGAATAGATTATAGTGAGACTTTTTCACCAGTGGTGAAAATGACAACCATAAGGTGTTTACTCACTATTGCAGCCAAAAGAGATTGGAATGTGTGTCAATTAGATGTCAATAATGTATTTTTGCATGGGGATCTACAAGAGAAGATGTACATGAGGTTTCCAGCAGGCTTAACACCTCATAGTCGTAAGCATGTTTGTTTACTAAGGAAGTCATTGTATGGTTTAAAACAAGCTTTCAGGCAATGGTATGCTAGGCTTGCAGGAGCTTTGAGTTTTAAGGGGTATTCTTCATCATTAAACGATTACTCACTATTCTTTAAACGGACAAGAAACCTTATTTCTATCCTAGCTATCTATGTAGATGATATACTGCTTACTGGAGATGACTTCGAAGAAACTCAGCATATCAAGGGTTTTCTAAATAGTGAATTCAAGGTCAAAAATCTAGGAGACATACAGTATTTTTTCGGGATGGAAATTCTGCGAGAAAATAAAGGTTTTATTGTAAGCCAAATGAGATTTACCCTAGATATGCTGGAGGAATTTGATATATCTCATTTGCCTCGAGTCAGTTCTCCTCTTGATCCTTCCTCCAAGCTTCAAGCTGATGATGGGCACCCTTTGCAATATCCAACAATATTCCGTCATCTGGTTGGCAAGTTGAACTATCTCACTAACCTCGCCCTGACCTTTCTTTCGCAGTCCTTACCCTCAGTCAATACATGTAGAGACCTTGTAAGTCTCATTTCTCTACTACCTTACGAGTGCTCAAATATTTGAGTTGTGATCCAGGACAAGGAATTCTTCTCTCAGCAAAATACGCATTCTCCTTGCTTACATTTTGCGATGCTGATTGGGCCTCTTGCAAGGATTTTAGGAGGTCCGTAAGTGTATTTTTCATTACACTAGGAGGAGCACCCATTTTCTGGAAATCAAAGAAATAAGTGTCAATCTATCTATCTTCTGCAGAGGCAGAATACAGATCGATGAGAAGGGTAACTGCAGAACTTACATGGTTAGTTCGACTTCTTGAAGATCTCTCGGTACCAGTAAGTATTCCCATACCTCTTCGCTCTAACAGCAAGGCGGCCATTCACATCGCTCGTAACCCCGTCTTCCACGAATGCACAAAACATGTAGAAATTGACTGTCATTTTGTCCGTCAACAGTTCTTTTCCGGTTTAATTACTCTTTCCTTTGTTCTATCTAAAGACCAACTGACGGATCTCTTCGCAAAGTCACTTTCTGGGGTTTCTCACTCCGAGATTTTGAGCAAGTTATGGGTCACAAAGTTACCCTCCAACTTGAGGGGGTGCTAGGAAGAAGAAACCATATCCTAATTCTAACAATATGTGGAGATTTACTTAGACATAGAGAAGAAGGGTGAAGAATGTCGTGCATATTATGTGTTTAGAATATAGGAGGACATAATTAATGGGTTAGGGGACATAAATTAATGGGGATAGTAAGAGGATTATAATATAAGTAAACATAAGTTAGTGGGTTATTACGGGAGGAATAAATATATATGTCAAGTGTATAATATATACATGTACAAAGCAAGCAATGTAAAAAATACACGGAAGATTTGTTTTTCAATCAGATTTTCTCCTTTAATTTCGTACAAACAAGGGAAGAGTAAAGATCAAAATTTGAGCTTGCGACATTTTTGATTCATAGTGTGGATACCCATTTTGGTCGGGGCTAGTGATGGCAAATGGGCGGGTTGAAAATAGGTGAGTAAAAATGGGTTGGATCACAACCCGCTTATATTTCATACGGGTCAAAAACGGGTTGAATATCAAATCGGCGGGTTGAATATGAGTTAACCCATATTATATAAGTGTAATTTTCAAGTGTAATTTATAACTTTCAGATTATTTAGATATAAGTTTAATTGGAACAATATATACTCTTGTTCATATATTATCTACAATCCAATATTATTAAACAAATTTAAAAATATATAATAATAAAAATAAAAATACTAATAATAAAAAATAAAAAAGAGCAAAACTCCAAATTCTTAATATACTCTTGAGTACCTCTTATCGAAAGTGATGTAGTACAAGTGAGGGAAAAAAATTTCTTACTTAACATGTACTCTTCAAAAACAACTCGGAAAACTATACAAATTTGCTTCGCTTTTTAAACTATTTTTGGTATTTAAATATGCACCTAAAAAGAACAAGATATTTTCTGAAAAAACTTCTAAGTAATACTAAACAATGCTAACAATATTTAGAAGAAAAAAATACTCAATAGTCACCTATAGTGAGAAGAAACATACCAAGGAAGAGGAGTTCAAAAATAGTATTAGGTATCTAACGTGAGCAAAAATTGGAAGATAACCCATTAGGCTAACCCATATTTTATTCACATTTTACCCATGAATATCCATATTTCTATGGGTTGCAGTCAAATTTTACTCAACTTAAATATCACTCATCCAACACACTAAAAGATGAACATATTGGGTGGGTTGACAAAATATAGGCTCATTTTGCCAGCACTAGTCGGGGAAAAGTTAAAAATATAACCTTTTTATGCAATCATTTAAATTTTGTTCTCCATTAACTCACTCGACAAAATTTAACTCTAAAAAAA